GGGGGGGGGGGGGGGATGACGAAGAAGGGAAAAACGATGGGGGATGGGACGAAGGCCAACCTCGGCGGAAAAACACAAAGCAATCTCTCGCATAGTCGCGCAGGGGGTGCCGCCTAAAATTATCCCTTCGGATAAGGGTGGCGGAGGAGGGTTGTTCTGTGGGTATATAGTTATCAAGCGATGTTTGTCGCGAGAAGTTAATCTCAGAGGGTCACGTGGTTCTTCCTTCTGGATAAGTGGTGCGAGTTATCCGGGTCGAAAGAGAATTCCAGTCAAAGAAGGAAAAAAATGAGGGGTAGTGGTAGTAGAGGTGGTAGTAGTAGTACTAGGTGGGCTTTCCATGGACCCCGTCGAGTCATCCCGATTAGTACAAGATATAGTAGATATTGATTAAAGGGAGGAGCAGCCCAGGGGATGACGCTCGTGGATGATAAGGGTGCTATAACGGAACAGAGGGAAACAGAGGGAATATAGAGGGAGACGACGCACCCTTACATCCTTAATCCATAGAGGCCTCGCCGCGGCCTTGTAAAAACACCGCCGCGGCTTATTGTGATTGATGCCAGGAGATTTCGCTCGATTGGAATTTTCATTTCACTTCGAGCTTTAATCTCTAACCCTTTACCGAAGAACGAGCCAGAAGAGTTTCTATAGTTCGTTCGTGCTCACTACCCTGTATCACAGTATACGTGTATATACGTGATACGTACGATCCTGCATAGGCTCGAGAACAGAGACTTGTGGCTTTCGCTCGACCTTTCACCCCTTCGATCCTGAACCCCGGTCTAACCTACTCTTTCGCCCTCCTTCGCCCCCCGCTCTCTCGCAGAAACTCTGGTTGCACCCTATACTACCAAAGCGGAAACCCTCGGGATATGTCACGACGCAAAGTTTCAATGAGAGAGTTAGGGTGAACCGGAGAGGTAGGTATCAGGAACGGGGGAAAAAAAATGATAACGGTGGAATAGGTTAGGTGAAGGGGGAGGGTTGAAGAAAAAAAATGACAAAGTACACACGTGTATACGTAACAGCTGTGTACATGTGGATTGATAGATCGTGGAACGTGAGTATTGGATTTTTTTTCCTCTCTACTCCTATTCCGTATGTCCCATCGGAAGTGAGACACCCGAAGTTGCTGCGTTCGAGAGCAACTTCCCATTTCGTATTCTGCGCAAAAAATCTAGCGACGTCGAACGGCGACGAAATATTTCGACGATCCCGGCGTGGGTTGCATAAGTGGACGACAGATAGTATAATGCGTGCAATAATAATGAACTAGTCCTGGATTTTTGGGTTATCGTCTACTTCCGTGACACATGTCGAAACTGTCATAATATTTTATCGTACACTTCCAATGATCATTTTTCAGATATCTTAGAGACAACCTCTGTTCTATTTATTTTGGCCCCCTAAGGACGACTTTTGAACATTACGTGTCGTCCGGGTGGCATCCCTCTCTCGTATGAATCCCAGTACCAGGAAACCGGTAGAAATGGCAATAGGAAGTTGGAGTGAAAAATTGCACTTGAGCTGACTTTATTTACCGCCCCCCCCCCACCCTCGCGCCCTGATAAAATTAATTTTTTTTTTAAATTCTCTTCCCCTCCTTTCAACTCCATTTTTATCCCCTTCTGGAACACCTCATGAAACGACCATAACCTCTCCCACTAATCCCCGTTCCTGGGTAATGTTAGACTGAAATTCCCGTTACTCGTTACGCTACGCCCTGGAATCCTTCCTAACGCTTTCCAGATACTTCGGGTTCCTCGCATTGTTCCACGAGCGGACGAACCTTCCTCCTCGCTTCAACCTGGCTTCTTACGCAGGTCCCCGTACTTCAGGACTCCGGGAATTCGGTACTACAGGACTTCAAGGATTACGTGGTACGCGGCAGTGACAGAGAAGTTCTTATGACCATCTCTAAAGTCTGCTCCTTCACGTCCTCGCGTAACAAGGCGAGTCTGCTTAGTTGGCTCTAATGAGAGAGAGAGAGAGAGAGTGAGAGAGAGAGAGAGAGAGAGAGAGGGAGAAAGTGATAACATAAAGGAGCACTTTAGTACCATTTAGCCATACTACCAGTTCCTGAGAACTATCATAGACTAAAACTCCACGAAATACATCATCCACAGACCCTGCCCATAACCCGAGTGACTTCTTGCATACGTTCTACACGTTAATCCTCCTAAGTACGTTTATAGTATATACAGGCTAATTATTTTACCTAAATAGACCAAAATTATCTCGCACCGTCGAACGTACGTTTATAGTATATACAGGCTAATTATTTTACCTAAATAGACCAAAATTATCTCGCACCGTCGAACGCGCAGTCTCTCTCTCTCTCTCTCTCTCTCTCTCTCTCTCTCTCTCTCTCTATCTATCTCTCTCTCTCCCCTACAAAGTCAAAATTACAACAAACGATTCACGCTTCATAAATCATCAAAGCAAGCACCCACCGCAGGATGGACCAGCCTCTGAAGTCTCTCCTCCACTTAATTATAAGTCAGCAGACAAAAACAATTTACGGTATACTTTATCTTTTTACGTATAACAGGTAAACCGACAAAGGACCGTCTTCACTAATAATAGTAATCTCGAGGAAGTGAGTCGATCCTTTCCTACCAGTACACACACCGCAGACCCAAGTGGCTGATCTCCGAGGCATCGTCCGCCGGCAGATGAGCTTCCTAACTTCCCAACCCAGCGTGGGCTCCTTGATTGGGTGGCTGGGCTCCATGGGTGACTGGCTGACAAGCGTTATCGTACCTCAAGTAGCTTCAATCTCAGCACGACTCTCGACGGACACCCCCCATACCCCCCTCCGCCCCACTCTAACCCGCCCCGGTAACCGCTGTACACTGTGATAATAATAAGGTACGATGGGTAAACAATTACGGAGAACCCAGTTTGAGGGTGCCTGCGGACAGGGGAGGACAGAGGTGGAAGGTTACGAAGATAGAAGGTCCTATCGGATATAAGGTAGGGGTAGGTCGTTGGTACAAAGGTTGACGCGGACCAGTGGGAGGGGTGGCGCAGAAGCATTAATGAGGTCGCTACAGCGTCATGTTAATGAGAGTCCAGGTTAAATATATATGTGCTTGTCTTGAGCACGTGTGTCGCTGGCACACGAGAGGGTGTATACAATAAATATATGCCGAGTACTGAAGGGTGTGTGCATCCGAACGTACATACGTATACGAGTGAATTTTACATATGAATACGTAGGGTTGAGAGGGGTCGGGGTTGTCAGTGCGAAATGCACCTCGTCAGATTGTAACGAGGGTTGCATTCATGGAATCTTGAAGTGATAGGGGCTGAGGTTGCCCTGGGATCCTTCAAGATGCCGAAGGGGTGCAACAACGTGCCAATATGGTTTTAAGGGATGAATCGGTTTAAAGGCCCATCGCCGTTGTTCCGGGATGCCCGGATGTACGTGGGATTGTTTTTATTACTCTGTCATAAAGATAATTATTCACTAATTAGGTATAATTAAGGAAACGAGGCGTCGTGTAGCCAATTGCGTTAAACGTGTAACGAGCGCGGGTGTACCCGATGTACCAGAGACAGGAGCGTCCGCCGTGGATGGACGCGAAGGGTTCTTCGGTGACGGCTGTCTAATTTATCGAGAGCGACGCAGGCAGTACGTGTCCCGGGTAGGACGTGTCGCCGGGAACGCGCTGTCATATAAATTTCACGGTTACCCGTCGAGCTTTCACAGGTGTAAGGCACTCGTCCTTCCATGGGTTTATAATCGGGAGTCTGGTACTCTTTGGATTTCCCTAGGCGTCGGCTTGGTCCTCGAGGATCCAAATAGCAGGTACCGAGATACGCCATTATCATATATATACATATATATGTGTGTGAAGTAAATTAATAGTCTATATATGTATATTGGCCACGTTAAACTTCATCCCCCTCGACGTCTCAGTTTATTGATAGAGAGCGGCCTGCGGTTTCTGTTCCGAGGGTTTTAGAAAGTCCATCGGGAGAGGAGGGAGGAAAGTAGGAAGTAACTACGAGGGAACGGGATAATGTCTTCTGACGGGACGCTAAGTGCTGGCGAACGGGAGAGGAAGAGAGAGAGAGAGAGAGAGAGAGGGAGGTCAAGACGAAGAAAAAGATGGACAGAGAAGATTATCTATGTCTATGTTTGTCGATGACGTAGATATAGCATGCACGAGATAAACGTGTATAGTCCACTGTGTAAGGCTAAAGGTTGGACTAGATGCCCGAGAGGGAATGGGATTCAAAGAGATGGGTAAGGTAATCCTATAATGGGAAGAACCACTGCTCTTTACATTGCGGCGGAGCTTAAGAAGGAAAAGCATTTTCCCCGTACAGATCGGATACATGCGTATATCAGGCTGGGTGAAGTATTCGGAGAACGTGAAGATCCTATGTACCCTTTACTGCTCTGTTTATATATAGGTATACATATGTACCGTTTACTTGTCCGTCTGACTGTACACCGGTACCCTGTACTCCCTGAATATATATGTATATACATCGTATAAGCACCATTCCTCGAATTCTCTTTTTCATTCAGGATGTACCTACTAGCTGCTACCTAGCAACTACTGGAAATAGGTACAACCTTACAGGATATTACCTAGACGTATAGTCGGTCCAGGAGTTCGATGTGTTTTTTTGACAGATCGAAAATCTTGTACAGTACTCGCGTGGGACGCGGGTATGTTCCTCCTGTGTATACATCTAACGTACAGCGTGTGTGTCTATATCTATACGTACACAGCAAGTAAAGTGGCACTATACTTTTATTTTTTCTCAATTTGCCAGACGTCCCTTGGATATCACGAGGATTCCGGATAAAGAAGAGGAACGAAAAACGAGGAGGGATCTTCAGCAGGGGTTGGCTCCCGTTAAGGCGTGTCTCCCTACGAAGGGACGAAAGGGAGATTAGAGGAGAGCGGCAAAAGTCGCTCGACGAGAACTTTCACGCGTTTTAATTTATTCCGGAAAAAGTTTTGCCAGTTGGTTTGCGTGGGGAGGATCGCGAGAGCGTTGCGGGGTTGGTTTACGAGGGGGAAGCGTCGGGACTTCGAGGGATGAAGATGAGGACAGACCAGAGAGCCAGAAGGACTTAAGCGACGGTGGCTGCGAGAGAGATACGAATTCCCGATGACGAAACTGATCGTTCGCCGAGGCCACGGTCGTACATACAGGTCTTGCAGCTCCCTTGGAGGGGGTAGTCTTCTTTTAGAAGCATTTTTCATTTCGCTTCATGACCACAAGAGGCGTTGCGATCAAGCGATCCGTTCCTATTTCTCTCTCCCACAGCTGACTGTAGAGTGAGATGGATAAGGGGGTCGCTCGATCACAGCGACGCTTGTGACTAAAATTGAAAATGTGCCGTGCTTCAAAACCACGTCTACCCCCACCGCTGAAAATTGGGCGAGTTGCAAGACCTGTATGTAAGACCGTGCTCGAGGCTGACGATTGGGTTTCTTGGCTTGGACGACGGTCTCCACCGGCTCGTGATGACGTACGGGAATGGATTTTCGGAGTGGCCGTAGAAGGGATAGGCCTCTGGCGCGGATCGTCATCAGGACTGTTCTAGAACGCGGACAGGAAGAGAACAAATGGGCCGAACGTGTCGCGCGAGGTTAACGATAAAAATTCCTTTGGGCTAAGCCTGAAAACAAAGTGACAGGCGGACAGGGCCCGTAAGGGTACACTCGTAGGGGTGGTTATTGTCGCAGCAGGGTGGCAAACCCGCACGAGTGTCAACATTTATGAGCCCAAATATTTGCCCGCTGTGCCTCATCAGCCTCCTGCCCCCCCCCCCCCCCCCCCCCCCCCCCCCCCCCCCCCCCCCCCCCCCCCCCCCCCCCCCCCCCCCCCCCCCC